GATGGGATCTGGCAGCACCATGGGCCACCAGAGCTGTGGGTGGCTGTGACTGTGCCCTCCCCAGCTGCAGAAGCTGTGGGGTGAAGGGAAGGCAAGGCAGAAACCTCTCCAGGCACAATTTCACAGTGGCAAGGAGCTGCAATCTCTGAGAGACACTGAGTACAGAGCACACTCCTTCAGATGGGAAGTGGGCAGGCTCCCCAGTGGCAATCCACAATATTTTGAGAGGCAGCAGATTGTTTCCTACAAAATAAAGAATTAAAATGCCAGAAGCAAGCTTGAAGCCAGGATGATTTTTTTCCCCATGCTTTCTTTTTTTTTTCCTTCAGTGTGGTGAGAAGGGAAGCACAGGACTGCTGAGAAGGAAAGGATGGATCAGCAGGAGAACAGGTGATGCCAAGAATTCCTTGATATGGCTCTGCTGCTGTTTGGGAAGGACAGAGAATAGCCTGGAATTATTTGATAGGCACAACAGGAATTACTCCATCAACCCCATTATGACAGAATAGCTGCTTTGGTAAGGATAAGGGAATAGAGGGAAAGGTTATTGCTCTGGTGTTTCTTTGGAGCACTGAAGGCAAAAAGACATGACACTGTGGAAAAACAACACCAGCTTGGTGGTTGAGACACTGGGGAAAAGAATTTGGGTGCTGCCATGCTGGGGAGCTCCAGCTGTCCATCAAAGCCTGGAGGCAAAGACTCAGTAACAGGATGAGCTGCAACACTGGACAGGTCATTTCCAGGCAATTACCATTCTGGTATCTGCTTGGGAAAGAGGCAATTAACTCCTTGGGTGCTTTTAACCTGAAAAGAAATCTTGGAGGGGAGAGAAGGAGCAGCAATCTTAGGAACATGGATTATTATCACAGGGAATGCAATACTTTACAGGGAGAAAGGAAAAAGATGAAGAAAAATGCAGAAAACAGGGCTGAGGGAAAAAAAAAAAAAACATTTCAGCCAAAGACTTGCTTTGAGTTAGCAGCAGCAGGGAGAAAAATTCTGGGATTATTATTGGGAAGAAAAAGTCAGGTTATTCCTAAAGCTGAGGTTTTTAAGGAGGATGGACCTTCCCTGGGCCAGGAACAGCAGCTAAGGTGCAAACAGCTCCCTGAAATCTGTGGAGCTCCAGATTATCAAAGGGCACAAGGAGTGTCTTTATTTAAAGAGGAGGAAAAGGAAATAACAAATAAAATATTTTAGCCTCAAGAGTTTAACTATGGCTTTTGAAAAAACAAGAGGAAATCACCTTGCAAACTATCTGTAAACCACAAGAAAACAAGATAAGCAGCAATCAGCATAAATTTGTCAAGAGTCAGGCCAGGATAAGCTGCCTGTCTCCTACAATAGAAGGAAGAAGCCTCAGGCAAAGAGCAGCACAAGACTCTGGGGTTCGTGGCCTAATTCAACACTGGGGTAAAGCAAAACCTGTTAGATGAGGTCTGATATGGGATGCACAAAACTGATTAAAAACATGGCCCAGATTTGGTCTCAGGAGTTCAGTGCACAGAAATAGGGTAAGAAGGAGGTGGGCTCTGCTCTTTGATTTCATTATCAGCCTGGATGAAGGAAGAAAGAAGCATCTTGATTAAGCTACTGACCCCACTGGCCTTGTATTGGGTGAAAACCCTTGGGATAAAACCAAAGAAATGGGCTGGAATACAAAGCACAAGGGAATCCAGGGAGCACAAAAGCAGAGGCAGCACCACCAAGGGGGTCAGGTCCATGGCTGTGTCTGTGGCAGCCTTTTCCCCTGAAGGGAAGATGCTGCACTCCTGCCAGGCTGGGAACATGCCAAGCCTTCATACAGGCAGAGATTTAGATTAATATGGGAGCTTTTTTCTCCTCATATATCACGGAGTAATAAAACAGAGCAATGCAATAAATCAATATATTCCTCCCAGAGTAGATCAGGGAAGCTGTTAAACTTCCTTATGTAGATTAACTGTAGGTGCAGTGAGGCTGGGATGGGAGGATGGTCCCAGACCCCTCCCAGTGTTTCTCACTGCTGTGGATGACCTGCCCAGGACTCCCACAGATCTCCTGTAACCCTCTGGCTCACCTGGGCAGTGGCTTTGTTATTTATGTGAGCTCATAAATCAAGCTATCTCACTGAATGCATTAGAAGCTCAAACAAGAAGGATGTTTGCTGTTGGAAACAGGTAACAAGGTTTTTGAGACCATAATTATTGTGTTTTTCTGAGACCTATTTGCAGAGCTGACAGACTTCATCAGAAATTCAAGAGTACAAAGAAGAGGCAGAGCAGCCCTTCTCTGTCCAGAAACAGAGACAGTTTCTAGATAATCAGCAAAGATCTACTTCACCTTTGGTGAACCTGAAAAGGAGAAGGGAATGAAGATTTACAGGATGGGCAGGAAACTGGCTCCAGAGGCAATAAGTCAAAACACCAGGCTGGGTTGCTCCTGGTGTTCTCCAAAGTACATCAGTTCAAGAAAGGTCTTGGCATAGAGACAGGGAAAACAGCTACAACACAAAAGTGGTCTTGAGATCTGAAGGAGCAAAAGCAGGATGAAATTCAGAATAAAAGGTGGGACTCACCTCTTTCCATGCACTGCTTTGAGGAAAGCAGCTGCATGCCAACAATTCCCTACCAGAAGCCAGCCCCGGGTGAGGAAAAACCCTCCAGATCTTTGCCACCCACACAAAACAAGCAATTGATGCAATGGAAAGAGGTGCTGAGGTTTGAAGAAATAAAGGCACCTGAAGGGAAGGCTGGTCATCACATTCCTCCCAGACACCCAGATCACAATCTCAACCTTTAAAAGTCTACTTTGCATTCTTGAGTTCATCTCAGAGATATTTTCACACACTCTCCCACTGCCTTCTCTGAAATGGGTTAGCCACAAGGAAAGCACAGTTTATTTCATTCCTGCTGGAGAAACTTCCTGAATTATGTTTTGAATTTGCTAATTAGAGCCAAACCTCCAGCAGCGTGCAAGGTGATTTCTGTGCCCTCCTCACCTGCTGCCTCCAGGCTCCGTGGGACGCGTGGGACAGGATCCTGCGGGACGCCAGCCTGCGCCGCACCTGCTGCACTGCCCTGCTCAGCTGGGCCCAGAGACAGGCAAAGAAAACACAAGTTCAGCTGCAAGGAGACATCTCCCAGCCAGTCTGCTCCAGCCAAGGAGCTCCACCAAGGCAGCACGACCCAACACACAATCAGGGTCTTTCAGAGACCCTCCTTGCTCCATCAAGGCAGCATAACCCAATACACAATCAGAGCTTGCCCGAAATTCTGATCCAGGCAGCTCATGTGCTCCCAAAACATGTTGCTGAGATGCCAGATCCCAAATTTTCTTGCTTGGTATCCAGCCAGAAGTGATTTTCCACCCCAAGGTACTTCAATTAGAATGAATCTCATGGTGCTCCATCTGGAATAACTCCAGCTCCAAGGCGAGCACTCAGGCTTTCTAAACCACCAAATGCACCATAAACATCACTATTAAAAAAAAAAAAAAAGCTTAAACAGTCCTGAAGGCAGGTTTTCCCAGATTTCGGGCTGCACGAGACAAGCTGCAATGAGGTGGCACCACCTAGTGCCACCTCTGCGCCAGGACAGGGCTGGGAAAGCGCCGTCCGTGCCCGCCAGCAGCCAGGGCAGCTCAGCCACAGCATCGGGGATGAGACACCGGCTGGATATTCTGAGGAGCACCACAACAATCAGGGTGACAGCGTGAGCTAACATTTCATTAAACAGCTAAACCCAAATAGCAGGGATGTGCTGTGGAAGAAAAAAACAAACATGGCCTGTTCCCCATTTCAAACCCCAAGGATCCAAAACACCAAAGGACCAATGGAAGCGCAGGAGAAGCAGGGCTCACCTCGGCAGCTTGCTGCTGGAACGGCTCCCCGTGCTCCCCTTCTGGCTGGGCTGGGTCACAGCCACTGGGTGCACAGATGATGGCAGCAGGGAGGCTCTGGAACAGGCACGTGTTCTTCCAGGGGGCTGAGTACTGCACAGCAGCACTGTTCTCCCTCTCTACCTGCCAGGAAAAAGCCACAGGGATCTCCAACTGTGACCCAGCAAGAATTCAACCCTGGTGACATTCCACCACCCTTGGGAGGGAGCTTTTGGCTCTCCATGCTGAGAATACAAAGAAGCATCAGGCTCTTTGGGGCTGAGGGTATTTGAGGGCTTCCTGCTTGGAGCTGGCAGAGTTACATGAGGACATCCCCAGCCAGCCATGGAAACAGCCCAAACACCCCAAGGGTGGCCAAAGCTGGTGACATGTCAGTGCATTCTCTTTTCTGCCACAGTCAGATCCTGGCAAGCCTCCCCAGCACTTGTTTGAGAATAGAAAGAATTAAATATATTCACAGGATAATCCAAAACAAGCCCATGGGGGGAAAAGGAATGTGGAGACACAGGGAAAGCGTTGTTTTGGCTGCTCTGGAAAAGGGATCGGAAAAGAAACAGCAGAAAAATGCTTTGCTTCAAAGGCAGCCAGGACACATCCACATCATTCCCAACTCCTGCATGGCTGTTTTGTAACTCCAGGCAATTCCACAGAGAGCTTCAGAACTCTGTTCTGCTGCTGCCTGAGGGAGCCAGTAACCTTTCCCTGGGGAGGCTTCAAAGCATCTCCAGCACCAACCAAAGTGTGACGCTGACCCAGCCTGGACACTGTTTGCCACCGCAGGGTCTGAAACCTCAGATTTTCTCATTAACACCTTGACTTAAGGTGTTGACTTAAGCTCCAGTGTTTGAGTTTTTCCTAGTTTATGCTGTGTTAGGAGGAGTTTCTCCTGCCAGAGCCTCACTTACAGCTTCGTAGGCCTTCTGCAGCTCCAGCCTGCGGCGCAGCCTGGCCTGCCGGTTCACGCGCTGCCTCACCTCGCCCTGGAACCTCCTCAGGCTGGCTGCCTTCTGCTGCTGCTGCTCCTTCAGCTGCTCCTCCACCCGGGATGCTGAGGCCTGGGTGAGGGGGAAGCAGATTTCACCAGGGTTTTGTTAAACTGTAGCACCAGAGCAGCCGTGTCCCTGGATTCCCTTTTCCTCACCCAGAGTGACCAGGCAGACAAGCAGCACCCAGAGCAAACTTCAGGTTTTGTTTCAACATATGTGGAATAACAGCTTGGACAAAATCTACTGGGTTATTATGGGCTGGATTCAGTCTGACTAGAGATACAGAGCAGGCACACCTCTGCCTTTACCTCTCTGTATCATACAGGGAAGGAAAGAAAAAGGAGACCCTGAGAGCAGCTCCTGCTCCCATTAAAGGATGCTCAACTACCCAAAGCCTGGATCCACAGGGACAGGCCAGCCCCTCACCCTGGTTGAAAGCACATCAGGGGAGCAGTTCACAGAGCACAGCACTGCTTCAGGATGTCTGTACCATCTGAAGTGAAAGATTAAGAGCAATGACCTGAAAAACCCAAAAATCCCATTTTGTTTTCTTGGCAATTCTGCCAAGCAACACCACCATGGCTTAAATTAAAACAGCGCTGCTCTGCTGGCTGCCAACACAGCAAGAGAAACCACATATGGAGGAAAGAGGTGAGGCCCAATGAACTTGGAACAGTTCATCAAGGTCAGCACAGCCCAACAAAACTCCAAGATGGGGAGAAATCCACCCTGTTAGGGATGAAAGCAAGACAGTGCTCCAGGGAACAGCCCAGCGCCAGCTCACCCACTGCCCACCTCAGCAGCAACTCTGGTGCATGAGGCATTACTGTGGGTTAATTAAGTGTATTAAATAAGCTCAGATAACCCTGGGCAGCTTCATTCACCTCACATGGGGAGCCCCAGGAGCATCGAGGCCCCCTGAAACTGTCAGGAAAAGATCAGCTCCCCCAGAAGTTCCATAGTGCCAAGATGGAAGTCCTGTGGAATATGGAGATGATTGATTTCCATAAATTATCTCAGCCTTTCAGAATTTAAATTACAATATAGAAATAAATCATCTCAGAAGGGCAGGAGCTTCTATAATGTTCAGACATTAATTACAGGGGACTGAACTCATCATCCAATATTTAATGCACTTTTAGTCCTCTTAGAATAACCATCAAAACAGAAATCCCTGAGATAAGCATCCATGAAGATTTCCTTATGTGTTTCTAACAGGGTAGAGCTTTTTCTCCTGTTTCTAACAGTAGAGATTGGCTACAGACCCTGAAACACTCAGCTTAATTTTTTTTTTTTTAATCAGCAACACAGAATAAAATCTCAACTCCCTGACATCCTTAAGGGATGAGTGGGAAAGCAAGAAGCAGCACTGGCTGGGTTCCCCACCTGACAGATGTTTAATATTGATGCATTTCTCCTCAAAGAACAGTTTATTGGAGGGGGATCAACCCAGAGAGATGCTGAGGTGAGACAAAGTAGAAATTCTCCAGAGGAGAGATCCATTTTGATTTAAGTGAAATGTACGTCTTTAAGTCTGTAGTTTGCAAACATAGCTATTTAGCCTGACTGCAAAAAAGCCTAAGCTCAGAGAAACTGCCTCAGTGAAAGACAGAGACAAAAAGCGATAAAGAGAAACAGAGACAACTGTGAGAGCAGGTCAGCCTGACCTAGGAATTCTTTCTGATAAAGAACTAGCAGCAAACGTCACGCAAAAATCATAAAAATGACCATGTATGAACCTATTGTGAAATTGTATGCATATGTATTTGAGAAGAAAATAAAAAGAGACCTGAAGTCCCCAAAAGTAAGTATTTTAAAGAGAGTAATCTCCATATGCCTCCAGCACTGTAATAAACATACCTGTAATAAATACACTGTAATAAACACAATGTAATAAACATGCCAGTTTTACAGCTTTCACAAAGTTGTAGAGTTTTGTTTATCTGTGCAAAACAGAGGGCTTGTGCAAAGGGGAGGCCAAACTACACCGACACCACGGCGGCTTCTGACCCCACTAAATCACATTAAAACAAATGATTATTTTTAGGAGCATTGTTCCTGGCTGTCCCCAGGCTGTGACAAAGATCCCCTTTGGCTCTGGCCCCGCTGGGGG